GAAGGAGTCCAAGGAGCCCCAGTTTCAGCCAGAACAAATGCCCTGACTTCATCTTCAGGTTCGGCCTCTCCAGCCTTTTTCCCTCTGCTTTTAGAAGGGACCTTGCCCTTGCCAGAGGATGGGGGGTTGAGGCGAGATTTCTTCATTGGTGGTTCCTCAGCCTCCACCTCACCCTCAGTAGACCTAATAATGACCAAGGGTTGGGCATCTTTGGCTTTCTTTTTTAAAGCCTCAGCCCTCCGTATCTCCTCCTCAGTCATGGGGAAACTATCAAAGGATGGTAGAGACAGATCCACGAGGTCTGCAGCAACAGCACTGGAGGCAATATCCTTAAGGTTTGAAGAAGTTAGCAGGTCCTCGATAGGCGAGGGGTCACTCCAGACTCGTTCCTCAAGAAAAGAAAGTCTGTTCCTAGTTACGGAGGATGGGAATGCAGCTGAAAAAACACCAAGAAACTCATAAGTACGGCGAAACATTAAGACTTGGCAAGGAAAACAGCCAGAACACTTGGTATGAAGGGAGGTTAAGTATTCTATACCTAACTTCCCAAATTTGCGCGGGATGGGGAGCGTAATTGATTGGGGCACGAACCATTTTCCTTTAACTATAACCATCATTTCTTTCCACTTTTTCTCGGATGAAGGAAGGTTCGTGCATATCCTCTGATGAAAGGGAGAGGTAAAAAAAAAGCGACCAGGCTCGGTCCCATGCTTAGATATATTATAAGTAAGCAGAAGGTCGGCAAAGGTCAAATCCAGAGCCTCTAATTTTCGGCGCACCAACAGTGCTGAAAGGATACGAAAGAAATTAGGATTTACCTGAAGGGGGGCAAGACCTAACTTGTTGAAAACTAAATGATAGATGGGGTGAAGAGGGAACCGGAGGGCGCTAAGATGCCCTACCGAAAGAAGCAACTCACTCTCTTCAATTCCCTGGCCGGAGGTAAAATCGGCACCCTCGGGATATTCTGCAATTTCTACTCCCTCAGGAATATCAAATTCTTCCATTACCGAAGCAGTAGAGAACTTGATGCGGCGAATAGAGATGATTGATTTCCTCTCTTCATGAGTAAGAACATTATCAGAGCCTGAGGTAGATGTCTCGACTGGAAGGGGGGAAGTACCTAATTGATTCAACGAAAGGGGATTTGTAGAAACCCTAGGAGGGGGAGCCCTAATGCGAACGGAGGAAGATGACTGCGTGGATTCAGAATCCCCAATGTCTATACGTTCGGGAGTAGATGAAGTACTCATAATGAAAGATTGAAGAGAAAGATGCAAAAAAAAAACTAACCTGACAAGGCGATGGAATGAAGAACGCAGGAGTGCAGCTAGGGCGAATGTAACTCTTGCAGAATCTTGTACGACGGAGTAATAATGAAAGTCCTCGAACCGTCTCTGAAGCAAAGTAAAAAACTGGTTTCAATTCCCTCTTTAATGGGAACCGTCACTCAATTAAAAATGAAATTTGGGGCAAAGTGTGGAGGGAAAAAAACTCTCTCCAATAAGAAGCGTACACGTCATCACTACACATATCTACATTCCAAGGACATATAAGGCCCATCATGCTCAAGCCCAAATTGAGGGTATTTTTAGCCCAAGACCATTGTTATTTGTCTTCCAACCTCCATTAAGGCCGAATCAAAAGGTCATCAGCCCAACTTGTTAATATTTAACATCCGGTCCGTTACTCAAGCCCAGCCGGATCAAAGTATGTTCAGCCCAGTTATTCAAGAATGCACAAGTCCTACCAGTTGAAAGATTTACCGTAGAAGGAAAATTCTGAGATAGGAAGTTCTGTACAAGGCAAGTTCTATGTATGGAAAATTAGACAATGGAAAGAACTCTATTAGTAAAGAATGTTTATATAGAAAGAATTGGAGGACAAGTAACGCGAGTCCTACCATAATTTTACAATCTTTTGTATATAAATAGAGGCTTAGACCTCCAATAAAGGGATCAAGCAATTCTACGCTTCGACATATATTGTTCTTGTTTATTTTTACTATTGATTGAGTGAGTTGTTTTATTTTTCTTAATCATTATTGGTTGATCGAAATTTTGCACCTACAGTAATTCATTGCAACAAATTGGTGCAAGTATCCTTACTTTATTATTAAACACTAACAAGAAATTTCATATTAAGTCTAAAGATTTATATACTAAAATAACTTCTTTTTTTCTTGTAAATTTTATTAAATTTTGTTATTATAAATTTGTATATATACTTTTTTCTCATATATCTATATATTTGTTTGTGAATTGTGACTATTTGTACTTATATTGTTGAACATGTTTACTAGAAAGTATGAATGCGGATATGAAAAACTTAAAAAGAAGAGAAAAAGAGGGAAACTAATTCAATCTCAAAAAGAAAATATTGATAAATTTGTTTCAACTAATAATCAAAACTTAACAAAAATTTAGGTGAATATTCAATAAATGAATAATCAAATCATCTAAGAGAATTAAAAAATTATACAATAGTAAAAAAAAAAGACATTAGTGAATTATTGTAGTTCGTAGCCAATTTTTTGAATCGGTAGGCTTTGCCGATCCTGCCACATGTGTATGTATATATACACGAAACTCTAAAACAGAATTCCTAAAACACAATTATTTCTGCTAGATCTCCTCAAAATCATAAAATTTCTTTTCTCAAGCAAATACTTGGATTCCTTATCTCTATCAATTTAGAGAGATGTTGGTCCCCAAACTCAACTTGTTTGTATTTCTTATTTTTATATATATATTTTCTTATAGTACATGTATCGGTTTCACAACATGCTTACTATTCATGTCAGGAGTACAATTTAAAAGCGAAACCTCAAGAGTTTACCTTTCGAATCCCTGCCAACTCCATTATGCCTAGAACTTTTCTTACTTCTATTTTATCTATATGAGTTTGTATTGTTGTATCTTGTATCATAAGTTTTTATGGTTCTCCAACTGACCCAGTCTTTGTTTTGAACACACTCGGTATTGGCTTCACTTTTGTGTAGTGTTCTATTATTTTAATTTATGTTTTGAAACTTGATCATAATTTCTTTTTTTGGATAATTAACTTAATCATAATATCAATTACTATTATGTACATAAAGAATTAAAGATATGCATTATATATATCAATTGGACATAGCTTCTGTACTGTGCAGTTTGACTGGCTCTTAGTGGTGGTTGTTGTGGGTTTTATTTTATATTTTTTCTTATTATTCTTTACCGGTAAATAACTTGCCCTTTAAATTGTTGTTGAGTCTGAGTTCTTTATTTTTTAGTTTTAACATAATTTTTGATAGTTTGCTTAATTAAATGAAAATATTTCATGATATAAGTATGATAGATGACACCTTTGATGTCACTACAAATTCGTGGCTGATACAATGAACACAATTATTAGCTGTTGTTTTTTTTAGGATTAAAGGCTAATTTTTAAAATACTTTGGTATTGGTTTGACAACAAAAATCATCTTAAACAAATTATTTTTGCACTGGTAAGTTGAAATTTTCTTACTTTTTGAACTATCACATTAATTGAAAATTGAACAAGGATGACTGCGAATTATATAGAGTCATTGCACAATATTAGTTGTTCAAAATTTAGATTGGAAGCTTAACTTTACACCATTTTTTGTCTTTTAAAAACATAAAGGTAAGTTTGGTATTAACAAATTTTAGTTAAAAATGCTAGAATTTTCTTTTCTTTCCTTCCATTTTTTTAGAGTATAATAAAACTAACACATCATGCCTAACTTGTAATCTTCCGATCTTTCATTTCGGCTGATGTTTAGCTGGTTTCCTTTCTTCTCTTTTAGTAATTTACACCAAACATAATATTTCATTTCCTTGGTTTCCTTTCTTTTCTTTTCCTTTCATTACCCTCCAACCAAACTGGGCCTGACAGTGGTCCTCTCATTCTTAGTGCTTTGCCCGCCCAGGTTTAGATTTGAAGTCCTGTTCTTAGATTGAGCCTGTCATATGTATGGGCTTCTTTCGCTTAGTTTGTCTATTCTGTTTCGACTCATGGGCTTCTTTAGCTTTGAGTTTTGCTTTTTCCTGCCCAATGGGCTTTTCTTTCTGTATTTTGTTTTTTGGACCTGGGCATCCCCTTGTATACTGTACAGTTGTTTTCCTTTTTTTTTTTTTTTTTTTTTTTTTTTAATTTTATATTAATCACTTTACCCAAAAAAAAAAAAAAAACCTTTATATATACACACAACGTAATTTCAATAAATTGCAAGATTCTATCAAAGCCAAAAAAAAAAAAAAACACTAATTTTATTGATGTTAACAAAATCTTTATCCTTTATTTTTGTTTATTTTGCACAAAAAGTAAGATTTGGGTGAAAATGCAATCAAAGTTTTTTGGATAATGGGTCAGAGTTAAAAAAAAAAAATTAAACAAAGACTGCAATGATCCTATTTTCTTATTTAGTTGTAGGATAATAAAAATAACAATTAATTACAGTAAAAAACAATGCTAAAAGGATCAAATTTTAAGTTTTCTTTTTCCTCTTTTTTTTTTAGTACAATAATGCTTTAGTAGGGAGATTTTTATAATTTTAGAAAAGTACACATACAAAATTAAAAAATCACAAAAGTTCACTTGGGATAGTAGCCGGAGGCTCCATCACTGATTATAACGAGGTGAAAAGAAGTGCAAGAGACAATTAGTAAGATGGTATTCACCTTTTTTTTTTCTTTATTACTAAAATGGATAAAGAAAAAAAAATAGTTAAAGTTTTCATAGCTTTTCATAATCATCATTCTTACCTTTATCTATAAAAATTGGATTGATCACATAATTTTTTATTTATTTATTTTTATTATACACCATATATTTTCTTAAATTTAAATTTTATAAGTCGTTTTTAGTTAGGCAAAATGTCCATTTTTTTTCTCTCAAATCCCATGACATAATAAAAAAAAAAATATGGTGGGTCTTACTTTTTCATGCCCAGCCCCAGCCCACGACTATACAGCTAAAAATCTTTGTTCCACTTTTTAAATTTATTATTATTATTATTATTAGTTTTGAATAAAATATTTATTTCCATTATCCACGACATAACTAAAAATACTTCATAGTGATCTAGAAAAGAGATATAGAGAGAGAAATTCATAAATTAGTTACAGTTAGGACCCCCTCCTGCGTTGATGCCGCGTTATTCTAAGCAATGTCGCTCTCCGACGCCTCCCCATTGATTTTCTGAGGCATATGCAACGGCCTCTCCCTCTATCTTTCTCTCTCCATCAACCCACACCTCACAAACAAAACCCAAATTCAAACTCTATGTTCCTCTTTTGAACCCCTCTGAAATTTTGCAATCTCCACAGCTAAGAAACCAGACATAAGACAGTTTTTGAGTAAAGAAACAGGTATCCTTCAGAATTTCTCTCTATATACTGTAATCAAATTCTCTCCATCTCGGTGTGTGTATATATATATATATATGTATATATTGGGTTTTAGAATTCCTAAATTTTGTTTTCTCACATACCCATTTTGTGTTTTTAACAATTTCTTAGTTTATTTTTAAAATTCCTCTCATTTTTATTTATTTATTTTTGTGGGTTAAGTAATCAAATCATATTTATGTTACATGTATGATCTGTTATCATGGGCTATAACTGATTTTTGATTGGTTATTTTCAATTTTTTGCACAGCTGAATTTGTAAGTTTGACAATGGATTATCAATGATGGGTAAAATGTACAGCAACTACGTGATAGGCATTGAATCATGGGCAAATGTTGATCTTGCGGAATTATATTGTACCGAAAACATTAGATTCTTTTGCATACATTTTTGTTAGATTTGTAAAGGAATAAGGGTATATTGAAGATTTATAGTTCATAGAGAAATTTTGTTATTAGTCATTTTAGAAATTGTACATTAATTGTTTGACATATGTACCATTTGTTGGCGCGATACGAGTTGTTATTGTATTCATAGGCATTTGGTGATAAAAATTTAGGGAAACCAATCGCACAATCTTTTGGGTTGAGTGTGTGTAGGGGACAAAGTGTGTTCGACTTCTTTGTCCGAATTCAGAGAAGTAATAGTAGTTTCTGAATTTTGATGGGTATTAAGGAATAAGGCTTGAAAAGCCAGAGAATGTTCATTCACAGCTAAATAGATATTTGATTTCTTCCAAGACCATGGCAAGTGAAACTCCTGGTACTTCAGGAGAATTTTATGCCGATAAACATGCACATAATGTATCTGAACAAACGGGTGAGGAATTTTCTGCAGAGTTTCTTAGGGATCGCGTTATGCCAAGAAATGTACGTGTAATGAATGACATGCAGCCTCAGCAGAAGAGAGTTGACTCAAACTGTATTCAGGATCATCAGCTTGTTTATGAGGATCTTACTGGCCTTCTTGGGATAAAAAGAATGGATTCTGAAAGTGGTACAGATAATTCAGATGCTTCTACCAAGAAAGGATATTTGCCGGAACTAGAGAAGAAGGTTTATCCAGAATTGGTAAGCAGACACCATAAGGAATATAGAGTCAGTGGACAACAACCACGGAATTCTTCGGGTGAAACTAATTGTGATCAAGCTGTACCTGGTCCAACTGGCACACCCCTTTATGGACCAGACTCGCCTAATGCATACCAGCTGTGTGGTTTGGGGTCAGGAGTTTCAGACTGTTCTTTCTCTGGTAAAATGAAATTCCTCTGCAGCTTTGGGGGAAGAATATTACCGAGGCCAAGTGATGGGAAGCTCAGATATGTGGGAGGGGAAACACGGATTATATCCATTAGGAAAAACCTGAGTTATGCTGAACTTGTAAAGAAGACTTCTGCCATTTGCAATCAACGTCATACGATTAAGTACCAGCTCCCTGGTGAGGATCTTGATGCACTCATTTCTGTATCTTCTGATGAGGATTTTCATCATATGATTGAGGAATATCATGATTTGGAAAAAGTAAATCAAAGGCTGCGTATATTTCTTGTATCTTCTGTTGATCCTGAAAGCCCATGTTCTTTTGAAGCAAAGACTACTGGACAGCAGTGTGATGTTGATTATCAATATGTTGTTGCGGTTAATGGCATGCTGGATCCAAGTCCACGGAGGAGCTCTAGCACTCAAAGCCTGGCAAGCCAAGCAAGCCTGTTGGGAAGTAATTTGGATTGTAGTCCAACCTTTCAAAGAGACTCTCCTACTTCCCTTCATCCAAGGAGTTTCCATGTGCAACTTTATGAAGATCGTGTGTGCTCTGATGGTCATGATCAAAGCAACAATCCAATTGTTATGGACCAACCGGCATATGACAATTCCTATGGTGTTGAGGCCACAAGCTGTTATTATAATCATCCTCGTGAACCTGTGTCAGTGGTGAATTACCATCATCAAAACAAGCAATTGGTAGAACCTAAACAGACACGTGAGGTGCATTTCCTAAATCGTACCCCCAGCAGAGATTTATTGTCTTCTCCTCTATATTGTCAGGGTGATATTGACATTGAAGGGCCTCTGCACAGTGAAAAGGCAATCCGTCCGGAAAAGATCCTCTATACTCCTGAAGATTCAACAGGCCTATATTCTGTGTCTGATGTTCCAGTAGGTGCTCATCCTAGAATGTCACATGCGCTCTCTGACTCGCATTTGCAAGATGAACGGTTGTCCAATCTAGAAGAAGGTAAAATCCCATGGTACCCCCTGAATTCTGAAGTAGAAAATTCACCTTCCTTGGCAATGTCAAATTCTTCACAAGAAAGGCTCGTGCAAAGGCAGCAGATGATGGACGAGAAAAACCAAGAGGCTAAAAATGATAATCAGCCCGCTTTCAAGACACCAGACAATAACAAGGAATCCATAGAATGGGGGAAAAATACATTGAAGTGGAAGAACAAGAAAGACACTTCATTGGGTCAGGACAGGGAACATTATGAAGGAAATTTGAATATTTCATCATATGCTAATGCTGTGGAACATAATATTAACTTGCCAAAAATTCACTGCTACCCAAACTCAATACCCCGTGTTCATATCTCACAACAAGAGGCACAAGTTCCTGGAGGCATCAGCTCTCTTTCCCCAGCAATCGATTTGGATATTTCCGCAAACAGCATGAGAGAGCAACCCAAGGGTTATCAATTAAATTCAGATGAATCTGAGTTTCTTGTCCAGAGCCAAAAGACTAACATGGATCTGCAGCATAGTATGACTGGTACAATGAGTGACAAAACTGCTTCGCGGGGATCTTCTGAAGTACAACCCATCAAATCTTGGGAAATGAGTAAACAAGAACCCATTGCTGCAGCAGCTGTAGATTTAACTACAATTGCAAGAGATGGATCGGGTTCAAAGTTAAACTTTCTCGAGAATGATCCTCCTGTCACTAAATCCTCTATTAGAAATCCCACCACTGATACGTCCTTAGATAGAGAGTTTTATCTCCATGATGAGGACCTTTCAAATCATCCTAATAATGTGCTGAAATCAGGGATTATTGTTGAAGATGTAACTGACAGTGTGCCTCCTGACATCCCCTCATCCTCAACAGCTGTCCCACATATACAAGATGACTCCACGGATGAAATTTTGTCCCCTAGAGAAACAGATACTGAAAGCGTCGCCCCAGAATCTGACTATGAGGTAATACTATTGTTATTAATTCCTTGGTTTTGTTTCTTAAGAATTTATGCATCTGTTGCAAGATTTGAGTTACTATAATATGTTTTGTAGGATTATAGAGTTGATAAAAAAGAAAAGGATGAATCTATTAGTGATGCCATAATAGCCGAAATGGAAGCAGGCATCTACGGTTTGCAGGTCAGGAATTGCAATTTTAATTGATTTATATAATGATATAGTTCATGTTTAACATATTGTGAATGCTGATTTTCTCTTCTGTCATGGTTGATGAATTGTATCCATTCCAGTTTAACTTGTAGTTAAAGAGTATGTGGCCACTTCAGTTGTTCACCATCATGCAATGATGAACACAAGTTGCCATGAATGATATTCTTTTCGTAAATTGCATATATTGTTCATCGGAACATTTGAACATGATTTTCGTACTGGTCAAGGTCTTATTTCAATTTGACTGCAAATTCTCCCTTTTGATTGTCAGGCATATTTGTTAAAAGGCCATAATTATGTTATTTCCTTTTCACAAGAACTTTAGGAAGTGTTTGGGAAGAGCTTTATACAGTCTTAGCATGAAAATATAGTTTCAACAGGAGTTAGGATCCGGTACATAAGATATTCAAAAGAGTGGAAGATTTTGATTTTATTCAACTAAATGCTTCAGATGCTGATGTGCAGATCATAAAGAATGCTGATCTTGAAGAACTACAGGAGTTAGGATCCGGTACATATGGAACTGTATATCATGGAAAGTGGAGGGGAACAGATGTTGCTATCAAGAGAATCAAAAAGAGCTGTTTTGCAGGGAGATCATCAGAGCAAGAGCGATTGGTAAGTACACAACCTAACAATTGCAAACTTTGAAAATTTTCAGTTCAATTTCTTCTTATGATAACTGTTATAATTGATTTGTTCTGTATTTATGTTGAAATTAGTCACCAGACTTGCCTTGAGAAACGAAATAAATATTAACCATAATACACTGAAGATTCCCCCTACACTGGAAGAAAAATTAGTATACTAGAAATGAAGAAAGAAGTCAAAGGTGTTTTACTAACTCTTGGGACTGAAATACTTAATTACACTCTACTTTGACAGACCAAAGACTTCTGGAGAGAGGCCCAGATTCTGTCAAAACTTCACCATCCAAATGTGGTAGCATTTTATGGAGTTGTTCCTGATGGGCCAGGTGGAACATTGGCGACAGTAACTGAATACATGGTCAATGGGTCACTACGGCATGTCCTAGTAAAGAAGGATCGGTGAGTTTATCTATGTTACCAAGTTCCCTTCTGAACTTTTTTAAAGAGATACAAAGTTATCGAATCTTGAAACTCCTATTGCAGCGCACTTGATCGGCGTAAAAGACTTAAAATTGCAATGGATGCAGCTTTTGGCATGGAGTACTTACATTTGAAAAATATTGTTCATTTTGATTTGAAATGTGACAATCTGCTTGTCAATTTGAGAGATACCCAACGACCCATATGCAAGGTATTCAGCAGCTGTAAAAGTGCTTAAATTTGTTTTAATGGTAGATTTTTCAACAAGTTTTTGTACATTTTGAGCTGATGTTAGAAAATTAATGTTTCTAATGTAATCCATCACGTTTCATCATTCATGGAAGCTTTTTAGAATTCACCAGGGGAAGTTACTGCATTTTAACTTTCCTGTTTCATTATTTTTGTTCATCTCTTCTTCATTTTGTCACTTTTTTCAAGCATTATTATAATGGACTGGACTTTCAGGTTGGAGATTTTGGATTATCAAGAATTAAACGCAATACACTTGTGTCTGGTGGTGTGCGAGGAACCCTTCCATGGATGGCACCAGAACTATTGAATGGTAGCAGTAGTCGAGTTTCCGAGAAGGTTAGAATTAAAGCCTATTATCTTTAATGTTGGAGTTTGAGTAACTTCGAAGGTGAAACTAGTGACGTCTTAAAGAAGATAGTCATCTCATTTTCTCTTTGTTTTCCCTTTCCATTATTTCTTGTGAGTTGTGACAGGTTGATGTATTCTCCTTCGGGGTTGCTATGTGGGAGCTCTTGACTGGGGAGGAGCCCTATGCGAACATGCATTGTGGTGCTATAATAGGTGAGCCTATCTACTTTATCTAATAATAACTCTAAATAAGAAGATAAAGACCCAAGTTGTGTTAGGTATAAGCTTGCGTACCAGCTTCACCTTCTAACACCAATGCCTTTTTATTCTTTGAACCTGAAAAAAATTTCCAACCATTTTATATAGGTGTCTCCCATTAAGATAATATGGTACTTTTATTATGGTCTCCAATTGTACATAACTATGTTAGTTGTCGTCTCCACCCAGTTAATTTTTTTGCCCCTCCCTCCATTGCATCGTTCTGCAAAATATAATGAACAAGTAGTATATATATATATATTTTTTTCTTTCTATATGTATATAACTATTACAATGTTTATGAGGGTCATTGCCTGGTTCAACGGCTTAACACTTCAACATTAGTGCCATTGGTGTGAGTCCGAGCCTCTAAGTAGTTACTTAGTGAAATATCAAAGATCAGGTCTTTCTTGAGTCCCTGCTTTTATGTAACTATTATGATGTTTATGCCTCAGCCTCTGATATAATTCTATTAACCATGACCTCTTAGAAATTCAACATTGCGCTCCAAGTTAATTATCAATGATTTACTTTTATAAATAACTTTTTTGTTTAACACATGAATTCTTAGGTCCTCTTCAGTGTGATAATATGGATCCATAATGTGGCAAGAACATCGTGGTTAATCTTCTAAAGTTTTGTTTGGCATATTGGTTCAAAATGAGCCTTCTAGAATTTTCGGGAACTTAGACTTCCAATTTAAAATTTCCCATAGAAACCTAAAATTACCCCAATTTTCCAAAATATTGATTCAGTTAGATATCAAGAATGAAATGTCAATTATCAACATTTGGTTTAAGACCTTGATCTTAGGACTTTGGAAATGTATGCATTTACACTTTCTTTAAAAATTCACTGATTTTGGAATCTCTGCTATGCCATTTTTCTTTCAAATACCCTCTAATTAGTGTTTCTGTTTCTCTAAGTGTGACCCTGTTTACTCTCATGAAGGTGGGATTGTAAGTAACACACTCAGGCCTCCCATTCCCGAACGCTGCGATACTGAGTGGAGAAAATTGATGGAGGAGTGCTGGTCACCTGATCCAGCAGCCAGGCCATCATTCACAGAGATAACGAATAGGCTGCGTGATATGTCAACAGCACTGCAGCCAAAGCGGCCTAGTCAGTTGAAGAGATGAGATTCTACATCCCCATGTAAGTTACAAGGAAAAACAAAGTGTCCTTCCTTTATGAGATGAGTTTGTGAAATGTCCTCCATACAAGCAATTGAAGAAAATTCACAATTTTTTTCTCACTTTTGGTATTAAAATTGTACAGCACTTGTTTTTTGCTTAATTATTATACAAAACCAGAAGCTTTGATAGTGCATCATGGTGACAATAGGGTAATATGTAATTATGTTTTTATGGATATTAAAATCACCCTCTTGAATGTACTAGCATATTGTAAATGCTTGCCAATGAGAGCTTCTTTTTGTTTGCCAATGAGAGCTTCTTTTTGTGTGTGTGAGTTTTGTGTGCGACCTGGTTATTTTTCTGTTGATTTCTTTATTATGTTCTTGGCTCGCGGGATTTTTCACTAACTCCTAATTTTCTAGACCAATCAACTGTGACACGGAGAATGAATATTATTGTTTGATATTATAATTATTGGTTGCAATGAATTAGACTCCAATGATGAACAAGCTTGTTTTCAACATTATTCTGAGCTTCAATTGGATTGAACGCAAGTAAAGTGACCCACTAGCTATCATCAATTTGTTGTCTATAATGTGCAATTATGCTTAATTGCTTTCCTTGTGACAAGTTCACCATTAAAGTTGGAGTTTTTAACACAATATTATTGGCATTATTGATTATTTGACATTGCTCAGTCGAAAAGCAACATTAGGCCACTTTATGCGACGTTAAATTCAGCACTGAAATTGCAAAATGTAAGCAAGACAATGGAAAAAGATTACTAGGCCATTAGGTCAGGTGAAAATGAGTGGTTTGAAGTCCACATGAACTAATTTGGTGTATGTGTGTTGTATTTAGTGTCACAGGGCTAAATTACACCACGAATTTTTGCCTCTGCAATGGCACTTGAGGCCACCAAGTCTCAGCCAATACAACAACACAATACACACAGTATAGAAATGTAAAGAAGGCACACACAGTTACAGGGACAAGCCCCAACCTTTGCTCATATTAAACATATTACAAAGGAACATGAGTTCGTACAAGGAACAACCAAGGCTCACACCCTCTTCTCTGTTCCCTGTACAAAGCCTACCTTAGCATTATATAGGCCACTCTCAAAACCGCCCATAACTGCCCACTAAGATGATAGATGACACCCCTATCCACCTAGGGTCGTGCTAGCACCCTCTAAATGAGCCAGCACTATAATGCAGTTGACAAGCCCAACTGCTAGACTTGTTGGCATGTTCTGCTCATGCCACATAACCACAAGAAGTTACATTCTGCATAGTGGAGGAAACCACCCTTAATCGCCTGTGTGTTGGTCCTCTTAGAATTGTGCCACATGTTTGGGAGGTTACTCAGCACTCCTCCACTTCCCATGATGAGTGGGAAGTGCTTGTAACTTCCCCCAACCGATCGAGCCCACTAAACCACCACCTCTTGTAACCGCAAGCCATGACTTTGTGTTGTCCATGCTCTAGCCACATCTGAGTCAACCTTGTGAACCTAGCCCAAGCCAAGTCCACCAATCTGCACCCACATATATATGTCTCTGAGTGCACGGCGTGCCAAGCCATGCACGCCCGTGCGCACGCTCGGGTGCACACCAAAGTGCACGCCGGCGCACACACTAGTGCCCTTCTTCGCACGCCATGTTTGAACCCTCATGCGTCCGTGGCTGTACGCCCACCTGGACGCCCATGTGCACGCCGAGCTAGATGCTTGCGCACACTAGGTTGGACGCCAGTGATGAACGCTGAAAAGTACACATTTAAACCCCTTAAGCTTGAGTATTCTAGGACCTTTATCTATCTTATTTACCCGTTTTAGTACTTATTTGTGTTTTTGTCTATTTCAGGTCAATAATGTTAAAATGGGCTAAAAATGAGTTCTTAAGGCCTTTTTGGAGTCAAACTAAGTCTTAACGATGATCCGGAGCAAAAAGAGGCTGATTTGGAGCAAAAAGAAGCTGATACTGAAAAGTTGAAAAGTTGGATGGATCGCAGAAAAAGTTGGATCGATCGAACTTTTAGTTGGATCGATCAGAAAAGTTGGATCGATCGAAAAAGTTGGATCGATCGAAAATAAGTTGGATCGATCGAACTGGACATGCTGGCAGCAAGCTGTCACTTTTTCTGTGCGCGCCCAAAAGTTCACCTACCAAAAAGTTGCGGGATTAGATATTTTTGGGCATATATTCTAGACTTAGTGACTAAGAAAAGGACCTTCTATATAAAGGGAAGCAACCCATTTGTAAAAGGGGATTCTTTAGGCTTTTTATCATTTTTATTTTCTACATTGTAATTTTTATTTCTCTAAAAAAGTTAGAGATTAGGGTTAGAAGAAAAGAGAGAAGTGGAGGTACATCTCAAGAACACATCTCTAAATCCACTATCTCTCCATCTCTAGAGCTTCAAAGAAGAATAAGAAGAAGAGGAAGAAGAAGATGGAGCTATGTTTGGAACTTGATTCCATGACTACATCCACCTCCTCCATGATTGACTAGATCTACACTTAAGGTTTGGATGAGCCCTAAGTCTTGTGTAATATAAACCCTTATATTTCTATTTTTTGGGATATATATATATATTGTTGTGATTAGTGTTCTAGCCTTGTGAATTTCATGAATCTTGGTATATTTCTATGATTTCCATGGTCTAATTCTTCCTATTAATTCTCTAGTTTATTTACATGTCTATGTGTGATTAAATTAGGAATTATGTCTCACATGATTCATATGGGTTAATTCTTCCATTGATTCTCTATTTTAATTACATGTTGTCTTATGTGTGATTATTTGGGGAATTGATCTCTACACTAGTTTTTCTATATTAATTGCATGTCTATGTGTGGTTGATTGAGAAGCTAGTGATGGCTAGACATTAGTGCTTAATGGAATGCTCTTGTTATGTCTTTTGATAGTTCATACTTATTCCTTGATGGATTGTACCTCTCCCTTAGTTTATTTTCATGCTAGTAGTGTAGTTGTAGTGTAGTGTTAGATGGGGAGACAATTCGTGCTTATTCTTTGATGTTCCATGTTTTTGAATACAAGAAGCATATGCTCTAATATTGTGGTGTAATGGAATTTTGAGCTTAATGAAGGATTAATGACTAGTTATGATATGTTGTATCTTTCACATGTGTTTAGACAATTTATTCATCTCCCAATAGATATATTGTGGCCTCTCACATGATGTTTAGACAATACATGTTTAACTAAGTCATCCTTGTGAATTATTTGGACTATGAGCTTAATGAAATGTTTAATGACTTGATTTGATATTTTGTTCTCTTCACATGTTGTCTAGACAATATATTCCTCTTCCAATAGATATATTGTGGCCTTTCACATGTTGTTTAGACATTATACACTTGTTGAGTCACCTTTGCTAGTCGAACCAATTTTGTTCACAACAATATATTCCCCATTAATGGAAAGCAAGTGGTTAATTACACAAGCTTAGTGGTGATTCCAACACCCTAAGTCCTCTCTTCTCATCTCTTAAATCCCTATCCCTACTTAATTTTATTTTTATGGCATTTTAATTAATTCTTTTCTAGAAGTAATCAACCAACCCAATTCTCTTTTGCAATCATTTGGTACGCTAGAGTCGAAGTCGAAATTCCAACACGTATAATCCCTTGGGACGATCCCTACTCACTCTTGCTACGTTAGTAGTGGTGTTGGTAGTGGTTTTTATAAATTTAAATTTGACATAAAAAGCTTTTCTTGAACCACACATTCACTATATTTAGTTTGGCGTATTGGAACGGCCGTCGTCAGATCATGTTGTTTAGACATTATACACTTGTTGAGTCACCTTTGCTAGTCGAACCAATTTTGTTCACAATAATGTATTCCCCATTAATGGAAAGCAAGTGGTTAATTACATGAGCTTAGTGGTGATTCCAACATCCTAAGTCCTCTCTTCTCATCTCTTAAATCCCTATCTCTACTTAGTTTTATTTTTATTGCATTTTAATTAACTCTTTTCTAGAAGTAATCAACCAACCCAACTCTCTTTTGCAATCATTTGGTACGCTAGAGTTGAAATTGAAATTCCAACACGTATAATCCCTTGGGATGATCCCTACTCATTCTTGCTACGTTAGTAGTGGTGTTGGTAGTGGTTTTTATAAATTTAAATTTGACATAAAAGGCTTTTCTTGAACCACACATTCACTACATTTAGTTTGGCGTATTGGAACGGCCGTCGTCAGCCAGCCCGCGCGCCCACCTGCACGCCCGTACGCGCGCCGCTGCACACCAGCGCGCGTATCGGTGCCCACTTGTTTGCCCTTCAACATCTTGGATGCTCCTCACTTGTGCAACCATCTTGGAGTGGTGTAACACGTGCCCATGCACGTTGGCTAAGCCCTCTAAGCAAGCCATGCCATAGCCCAACCGATGTGCTCAACAGACCCCCCCCCCAATATAGTCTTAAGGAAATCCAGCACTCTGACAGGAGTAAACATCACCCATGCTTGAGGAGTCATAATGGCCTTTCAGGCCTTTCCCGACATCCAAATTGAGTGCCGCCAACCAGCTTCTATGGACTCAAGGTACCTCCTATAAAGATCCCGAGTCAAAACTCCAAGTTTCACTTTTCGCCATATTTACGAAAGTGCCACTGGGCACCCCCAGTGCACGCCGGGCATCCTTTTAACCATCTTGTGTGCACGCTGAGCATCTTGTGCACGCTTACAACCCCCTGAGCAATCCTCATGGCTGTCTAACCAAAGCCAAAGTATTCCCAATACATGGCATGGCCTTGAAATGCCCATGTCTTCCCTTGGACAACCGTCAAGGGGCTAACACTTAGCTATCCAGAAATGTTTACTTTAACCTAATTTTCAATTTCAGCAAGATTTATTTTATTTATTTATTTATTTTCTAGAACTTCCAAAAAACCCAAATAGAAAGTCGGCATACAATTAATTTCTTATTACCAAAAAAAGGACAAACAATTAATTTGTACTCTTACCAAAATTCATCAAACAACATATATAACAAGTAACACCACATTTTAGTATAATCATAGTCATACACTAAACCATATGTAATTATTAAAACAAAGCCTGTTCATTCAAGCCTTGTGAACTAACAAATGTACATTGAAAACCATAGGGCACAAAAGATTGGTTCTTATCTATTTGACATACAATTAATTTGTACCCTCACCTAACTTCATCAAACAGCATATATAACATCACATATTAGTATATTATCATTACACAAAACCATATGCAATTATCAATACAAAGCCTGTTCTTTCAAGCATTGTGAACTAACAAATGTACCATGGAAACCATAGGGCACTCTAGTGGGCAACTTCACCGAGGCCACTTGCTTCATGTTTGAAGCATCCGCTATTACCAACTCAGACCTATCTCTCTTCTCATCTCTCACAAAACTCATCATCCACCCTTTATCTTCGTCTTCACTTGTCTCGTCCGCCACCAAACACGGCTCGCCGCCAAACCTTCCCGCACCATATAGAAAATGTGTCACCTCTCCGGTCGCCAAATCCACTTTGGCAATTCCCGAACACTTCGGCCACGGCTCCGCCACCGCCAAGTATACGTACCGGCTTTTCCGGCCAAGTCGCCGCTTGTCCACTTGCCCGGCTTCCAAATTCAGACCGGCCACGATGACCCTTCGTGTCGACCCACCTGTATTTAAGTTGAGTCGGATCTCGGATAACTCGCTCCTGATCGGGCTGTCTCCTTCTTTGAAAATAGAATCGGGTGGAGTCATGCATGACCCGATAACCACAATTATCGGATCGCCATGTTTGTTATACTCCTCCCATGCATTCCACAGATGGAAGCAAAAGCAGTCGGGTACCTCAACCCATCGAATTCCCGACTCGTTGTCGTCCTCTTTGGGCAAAACTCCAAACCGGGAAGTCTTGTTCGGGTCATGAATTACGGGTGACCCGCCACGGACCATTTCGGATAGCTTGAACACCACCTGATGATCCGGGATGATCACGTGAGACTCCGTTATTGCAAAGTCATGAATCATGGTTGGTTGTTGGACGGAAATAGGCACGTCACGTGACTTTCTCCCGCACGCGTCAAACTTCAAGTACTTTAGATAAGGCTTTTTTAGTACGTTGTAGCTCAGACTGTAGAGATCACCTGTAACAGGGTCCACCTTGGGATGCGCTATCATTGAATTTTCAAGCTGGCCGTTAAAATCGAACCGTCCGATCGTTTCGAGATCACCATCAGCCGTGATACGGACGTTGTACGGAAGATCATCCTCTGACATGGCAAGAACTCGGCCGTTGAAACAGATCAACCCAGCGTTGGCCACACCAGTGCCTCGTGAGCTATCGACTAGGCCGATTGAGGCTCGAGCGAAGAACAGCGAGAGCCGAGCTAGGCCGAGATGGCCATGAAGCTCGCCGATCGGCTTCGGAAATAGAGGCCTTCCAAGCGCGGATTCTTGGACAAGCCGACTCGTGCGAGTGAACCGACAAGAGTAGCTGGGTCGGTTAGGCGACCCAAAAGTAACGGCGTGTATCATGCCGTCACCGTCAAACAAGTGGTGGCCGTTGATTGGTGAGAACAACGGGTTGGCCCCATTTCTTAAGTAGACCCCACGTAGGCCTGCCGGAATCTGACCCACCACCTCGAGGCCGTGCAGAACCGGGCACTCACAAACCGGAGCGAAGTTCCCCTCTAGCTGAACCGCCGGGTCAACCGTCCGGTTCAGTTTCTGCTTCTTTTCTAGCTCCAAGATCAGTGACCTCTCAACAAAGTCTAGAGCTGAGACTGCTAGTTTTTGAATTGGGTTGAGCACAAGAGAGTGGTGGGGTTCCAGTGGAGCCCCAGAAATTCGTGGTTTGAGCAAAGGGTTTGAGTTCGTCTCCGACTGTGCCGGAGTTGTCAGTTTCCGGGGAACTGTATTTTTTGATGGGTTGATGAGAATTTTGCATGTATATGATGGTGCGTTTAGATGGAATTTTCTTATGGGTGTGTGAGGTTTGGTTTGGTTTCTAAGTTTAGTGGTTGTTTGTGTGGTGCAGAAATGGTAGGAGGCTTGCATGGTTGCAGAGAGACAGAGATAGAGACAGGGGAAAAGAGAGAGATTGGAGAGAGGGGTGTAGTAGATAGAACAACAGGGCCCAGATGTATGTATATATGAAAGTGTAAAAGTGCATGTGTGGGCTACAATGAAGTCCAGCTATCACAAGGAGGAGAGGACACGTGTGAGAGCAGCACGTACATGCAGATTTTTTTTTTTTTTCCTTTTTCTTAATTTTATGGTAATGAAAAATCAACTCGACCAATAAACACTTTGGACTTTTAAATAATTTGTAAATTCGAACAATTTATCAACAACAAATATCAAATAAAGCATTCAGTGTAGACTTCTACAGAATGAAAAAAAGGAAAAAAACATCCAGAGTTTTTTTTAGGTATGTTTGTGTTTGCTTTACGTAAAATAAAACAAAAATAAAAAATAAGATGACAAATTGTATATCTCATTATGCATTGTCTTTGTGATACTACAAAAGTGTACAATCAAATGTGATACAACAAAAGTGTACAATCAAATCCCAAAGTCCCTAATTGGTACTGAGCATTTCACAGAATGTCGACAAATAAGTGTAAGTGTTTTGCGTGTGAATGGTGAAGTCATGGAGCTTGGTGTTGTATGTGCCTTCACGTGCAGATGAACACAGGCTTGGAAGCTACTGAAGCAAAATTTGGAGGCAGGTGGGGGTGATAACGTGATCTCACGTGACACGGAAAAGACAAATATATATATATAAAAATTAAAATTAAATTAAAATTTAAAAAAAAAAAAAAAAAAACTTTTTTTTAATAAAAAATTTGGATAATTTTTTCATTAGAGTATTTATACGTGGTTGTGTAATATTTTTTCAATATAGATAATATTTTTGTTCATTAATTTTACATAATTTGCCTACTCCGTCCCCTTAGGACATAGTATCCCATCAAATAAAGTAAGGATGGGTATATGATTAAATTTTGAAAACCGACATGGTATCAGATTAGATTTTGAAACCCAACTTGGGTTCGGGGTAGGGATAATTTTGTAATTAAACCCACTTCATTCCAATTACAGTTAGGAATGGCAACAAGGCGGAGTTGGGTAAACCCTACTTCGGCCCATTAAAAAATGCAAACTCTGTTTCAATTTCTGGAGGGATTTATAATTGGTATACTATTTACGCTCTTATTTCGGTAGCTAGACAAAATATCGATTCCGCCCCGCATATTCTGTTTAATTGCGGTAAAGTTGAAACTGTTGAATTAATTCCGAAACTTGGGATATAATACTAAGATCTTGAATCATTGATTAAGTCTTGAAAATTGAATCACGTGCACCATTGTGAAATTTTAGTAAGTACTGATTTTAGTGAATATTTAGTCAAAATATATTAATATATACTTAACTTTTATATATATATATATATATATATATATATTCATTCGGGGTCAGGGCGGGGGCGGGGTAGGGGCATCACTAAATCTTCCCCTACTCCAAACCCGTTTCGGATTTTCAATTCTTTTATCATATCTATCCAAAATTCATTTATGAAGCTACCAAATACTAATATTATTCCTTTAATACCCCGATATATATGGTATGACTACTATTTCATTACCAGGAAAATCTTCAACTGCTTTATCCCCGGCCCTCTCATTTGCATGTCTTCCTCTCAACTCGTTGGCGACGCTGATCATCTTTCTGACTACGATTAGGCTATATTTCGACGTTGTGGCTTAAGGTTCATGTACTAACTCTTTATCTGGCTTTGATCTCTCTTTATCTGGCTTTGATCTCTCTCTTTTACCACCATTATATATATATATATATGGTACGTATATTATTTATGATTTTTCCCCCAGATATAGTCTTCTATATATAATCTTAGGAATTTTGTGTTTCAAAGTTTTTGTATATATGGTTTTTGTATTCAGATCTAGTATTTTATATATACTTTTTAAGGTTTTACTATCTTCATCTTTATCGATTTTTTATTTTCTCCGTAATATAGAAAAATTGGGTCAAAATTGACATTAATTGAAGCAGGATAGTGATGGGATCCCGAATACCTTACAGAGACATGGATGGTATTACTGTAATGCCCAAGGGGACAAGAAGACCTATTTTCCAATGGGGCAGGGAATAGCCAAACCCGTCCTAGTGGAATCCCTACCGAAGCCAGAATCTAGAACAAGACTAGGGGCTGATGCAAGCATTAAAAAAATGACTCTTTATTAATTATAGCAGTGATAAGAATACCAACATTTGAATGCCAAAAAAGACGCATGGCTGGCACCAACCCTGTGTCTTTTTCTGCATTCTGACCTCAGTAGCACTAGCCTTGTGTCTATATCTTTTTCGACATTCTGACTTTAGCATTTAAACTACTTTTTTTTTTTTTCGGTAATAAGAAACCTAATTAGTCGATTTTAGTGTATTTTTTAATTAAGTAAAGGCGTATTATGATAATTTTGCAATATAAATAGAGCGGCAAGTGGCAAGTTTACCTTTTTCGTCCTCGCCCAAGATTCCCAATTAGTCGATTTTAGTGTATTTTTTAATTAAGTAAAGGCGTATTATGATAATTTTACAATATAAATAGAGTGGCAAGTGGCAAGTTTACCTTTTTCGTCCTCGCCCAAGATTCGCGCGACTTTTTATCCCTTCATCCTATAATCACCTAAATTCTATATGGCCTCCTCAAAACCTTTCTAAACAATTGAATAGGCTCGCCTGAGAGCACCTTTCCCACCATGCAAATGAATACACAAGTTTCGTGCAAATAAGGGTATACTCATTTGATTTATAATGTTATTCATACCTAATAGTTTAGACAAAAATCATAATTCAATTCATCTAAGGGATATAAATTCCTTAATTAGAATTCTCAATTAGACTATTTGGTCTAAAAATGGTAATTAGAATTCCCTCGTGATGTATATAACCTGACACGTGAACCATGTGCAAATGTGAGCTAAAGCCATCAAATTTAAGTCACCTCTCAAATCTTAGCAATGCAAATGAATATAGACTTGGAAGTTAATGAAGTAAATTTGGGGGCAAGTGGATGCAAATGTGTGCTCGTGCGAGCTTAAATGACATATCGTGCAAATGAGTGCACTGGTTTTCATACATATACGTGGCTACTTTGTTAATATATATTCATTATTAAACACAAATTACATGGAAAAGACAAATTTAAAAAAAAAAAATTATATACAATTTTTTTTTTTTCACTTTATAAATTTAGGCCCGTCTTTCATTAAAGCATTGTACGTGGTTGTGTTATTAAATTTGAATAAAAATAATACTTTATATATACAATAATTTTAAATAACAGGAAACACATAGAATTTCTTTTCTATAGAAAAAATGATTTGAAAATATTTATTTTGGGGATTTTACAAAGCTTAATTTGCAAAAACAAGTTTACAAAAACTAAATCTTATATTACATTTTTTTTAATCAAAAACTTTTTCAGTTTCAAATAAATTCATATCCTTAATACTTTAATTCATATAGTCAAATTTATCAAGTCCACTTGACATGTTGTGAGATCATATTTCTATCCATAACTCATTTTCACTCTTTATTTATTCATGTATAACTTTATTCTCATTTTTCTTTTTTTTTAAAAAAATTCGAAGAAGATATGGTATTTTTTTAAATTGTATTGCCTACACAAATGATTAAGGGTGCACACAGTTCGATTTGGACCGGTTTGAGAGTTTTTTGGAACCAAACCGATCCTATCGGTTAAAGAAAATCTAGAACCAATTACTGAACCATTTGACTAAAGGAATCAAACCATGATAAACCGATTTGGTTCGGTTCGGTTCTACGGTTTTTTTTTTTTTTTTTTTTTTTTTTTTTTCCTGCTACAGAAGTATTCATATTTAAAAATCCAAATCAACAACAAAAAATTAAGTTAACCAACACATCCAGAACTGCTAGTATATTCATAACTTTTAATTCATTCTTACTTATGGAACTGAAGTGAATACATTTTGAATTGTTAAATCAATAACAAACATTCAACCACGTACAATTCAAAAAAATAAGAAATATCTAATAAATTGATAAGACATAAAAGAATTAATAGTGGATCGTAAAATTGATAGTTGTTACAAACTTCTAAGTGATTTGGATTGTAAGATTATATTATATAATATATATATATATATATATATATATATAAATATATATATATATATATATATATATATATATATATATATATAACTAAACGATTTGATTCGGTCCTAAAGGACCTCAAACTGTGATCAAATTGTATCTTTACGATTTCAGAAATTTGAAACCATGACTAAACCAAACCGTTAGCATACCAAATCAAATTGTCCAGTCTAGTCTGGTTTGGTCCAGTTTGGATTTAATGTTATGATACGAACTCAAAAACTTGAATACCAAACAAGACAAAGGGATATGCACCAACCATGTGTTACTGTTTGACATTTTGACTTTAGCATGCAAAATATCTCTTTCTATCTTTTTTATTTTTATTTTTTTTTATTTTTCATAAATCATATCTCTCTATCTCTATATCTGTGATACCCCGGATTTTCAGATGCGAGTTGGCTAGGCCCACGTCCGAATACCCGAGAATATAAAAAACAAATGGTAATAATCGAACACAGAATACAAATAGGATAAATGAGAATAACCAAAATACTGATCAGAAACTAAATGATAAATAAAGCCTCATAAATAAATTTCCACTAATAAATTTCTCTGATACAAGTAATCCTCCAAATATACAACTCGGAAATCCATACTATGCGGATCCTTAGAAAAATCCCAACTGAATAAGTGACTACATCAAAACACTGAAACATAAAGAAATCTTCAATGTAAAAACAAATCCGGAAGAGTGAAGTAGATGATCCCTTCTCAGCATGTACAATCCCTACTCTTAATGAACACCTAAAAATGATGGTGAGTCAGGCCCACAAACAAGTTCTATTTTAACTACAATCCAAGCAAAGATCCGATACGTAGATACATTCTAAATAACTCAGCAATAGCTATATAGTCCATAACTATAAATATATATATTCACACTAAGGGACATTCACTGGATTACAAATGGGGGCTTA